GAAAATTTCTGCTATGGTGGATGGAGCCAAGGCGCTGCACTACCACTCCACTCACCCGCACGGCGGCCGTCGGGAAGCGGCCGAGCTCCTGGTCGTCGCGGCCCATGTTGCGGATGCCCCACCACCAGTTGTGCTCCTCGGTGCGCAGGATGTGGATGGCGTCGCCGGCGCGGAACTGCAGCCCCTCGGGCTCCAGGCCGGGGTTGTCCCACACGGCCTCGGCCACGATCTCGCGGCCCTTGAGCAGGTTGCGGTCGACCCAGAGGCGCAGGTCCTCGCCGCTCAGCGCCGGCGTCGTGTCCATGTCGGCGTGCAGGAGGCGCTGCCTGGTGCCCGGCGCGCCGCCCCCGCCGCCGCCGCCGCCGCCCCCGAGCTGGCCGCCACCACCGCCGCCCTGGCGCCCGCCGCCCGCGCTGCTGCTCCTGGGGGGCGCGGGCAGCGGCTTGTCGGGCGCCTGGTGCCGGCCCGCACCCCGGTCGTCGCTGTCGTCGCTCAGGTCGGGCTCCGACGGCGGCCCGTAGTAGTCCTGGATGGTGGGCCTCTCGTCGGCCTCGTCCTCGCTCTGCGTCACGCTGCTCGGGTCTGCGCAAGATTGGGGGGTGGTTAGGTTGAGGGGTGGATAGGTTGAGGGGTGGATGATAGGTTGAGGGGTGGATAGGTTGAGGGGTGGATAGGTTGAGGGGTGGATAGGTTGAGGGGTGGATAGGTTGAGGGGTGGATAGGTTGAGGGGTGGTTAGGTTGAGGGGTGGTTAGGTTGAGGGGTGGTTACGTTGAGGGGTGGTTAGGTTGCGGGGCGGGGATGATTAGGTGAGGGGTGGTTAGGTTAGCAGTTGTCGGGTTAGGTAAGGTCGGGTTGTGGTAGGGTTGGAGTGTCGTCAGGGTTAGCTTTGGTCAGGTTAGGTCACAATAGGGGTGGTTGGACTCCTCACTTTACTTACGAGTGCTCTCCCGGTTGAGAAGGTTGTACTCGGACAGGTCGTTGACGCGGGGCTCGCTGCTCGCGCGCCGAATCACCCTGGCCTTGCGCGCGCTGTGGACAAGAGCGGCACGGCGGCCTGGTTATACACTTGTACAAAGCAACTTACTGCCCGGCGAGCACAGCTAGGATTGGAAATTTTTATAATTTTCCGATAAATTCCGGGAAATAATAAATAATAAAACCTTCTAAAATTTTGGAATTTTCAACTTTTCTCCGTAAATTTTCCGCTTTTCTCAGAAATTTTCCTGAAATTTCCCGGATCTGTCCAGGGCTTTCAACCATAGGCACAGTGCATGACACGTACCCAAGGAAAACCCTGGACCCCTCCTGGTCACGGTCCGGCTTCTGGGCGTCCTCCGGTGTCCCGGGCGTCGTCGAGGTGGCCGTCTGCGGGGGAGCCGGGGGCGCTGGGGCTGGTGGTGCAGGGGGAGGTGGTGGAGGCGGCGCTGGTGCTGCTGGCGCTGCTGCTGGTGTTGCTGCTGCTGCTGCTGCCACGGGTTCCAGCAGCGGCTTGGTTGCTGCCTTCCTCGTGGCCTCCCTCTCCTTCAGGACGTTGACCCAGCCCGCCTTGTTGAGGCTGCAAGCGAAGAGTACGATGCACACCTTTTAGACGTCTTCATTTTCAAGATGCCCACATCTCCGACGTACGTCAACAGCAAAGCGAGAACATTAAAGAAAATGTGTTTCAGCCATACTAAAATTACAGTTTGGAAAAAATCGGAAAAATAATGTAGGCTCCGATTATTTTAAGTTTGGGAAAGTAAACTCGAACATTTGAGCTACCCACCTGGACTTGCTCGCCATGGTCTCCTTGCACAGCTCGCAGTCGCACTCCGAACAGCACAGGGAGCTGGACGAGCTGCTCTTCCTTTTGTCGTCCTCTTGGAGCGGGTGCTGCGCGGGCGGCGCCGGCTGGTTCGGCGCGGGGGTCTCGGTGGCCAGCTTCTGCGCGTAGCGCTGTTGGCACCCCTTCTGGTTGTCCTTCTGGCAGGGGCACTCCTTCTCCTTGCATTTGGCACCCTGTTTGGGGGAGACGAATTACGATTAAAAATGATTTAAATTGATAGACTAAAAGTAATTATTGGACAATGGAACGTGTTTTCTTAAATGGAAAAAAATCGGATGAGTACTATGAGACTTAACAAGGTGTCTATTTTACGCCTCCTAAGAAGTAGAAAAACGTCACCTTGTGCAGCGAAGACTTGACCACCATGGAGAAGCTCTTTCTAACTTTGCTCAGGATGGACTCGCTCGATGAACCTGCGACCACATAGACAAGGGCGTTAGATGAGACGAAAACCAAATGGTACAGCGGCAAAAAGGAAAGAGAACTTTTTTAAAAAGAAATTGGCAAAACATGCGGGGTTTTGGCGCGTTGTTCCTTTTCAACACGAGCTGGGCAGGGCACTGGTCAGCAGGTCACGGCCCGATTGGGCACACCCTATATCTAACGAGCTAAGTGCCCAGGCTGGCTACCGAAGCAATTAAGCAATCAACGCAGGCCGTGCAAAGCGATTGCGGAAGCAAGCAGGTAATGAAGCAATAAATGGATTCCGTTCGTTATTATTTATAACATATGATTTAGTTTGGCAGTTTGATTGTGCCTAAAGGAAGTCGTAAATTGTCCCTTCCTCGCAATGGGATGAGGGTCTATAGTCGGGACATGATTCCAAGTTCACATGTCAAACTTCACGCTACATTTGAAACAAAACTTTTAAAATAGACGACAAGAACGTATACAAGGTGAAAGTGAGGAATGTAGGTGAGAGATGACCTGGTATACGTTTCCATACCCCAGACCAGACAATACCCCACATTTTCAAAAAGGTACATCCTTTTTCACGAACGGCTGATTTTTTTCATTTATTTTTTTGTCGCTTATTAAAATAGTAAAATCGTCGTTGACCTCGGTTGTCAAAACACCCACATTTCCACAGTAAATTTACGGTACAGCCAGGAATAGTGCAGGCAGCGAGGAGCAGATAATGAGTACATTCGTCATTTTCACAATTATTGTATATTTTCTTTTAAAACAAATTTAAAAAAAGCTCAGGGAGGAAAGCACACTACGTTTCATTGATATAAATTCAGTGAGTATACACGCGAGACCAAAGAGCCTCCACACAAAGAGTACGCAAAAGGGCGGGCGATTTGAATCTTACGTCACAAACTTATCATCATTTCGGCCTCCTCTGCTCCTTACTGAACTCAATGTCGTTAGTCCCGACCAAAATACTAACTCTCCCCCCGTGGAGTGGGCACTGCGAGCAGGGCCACTACGAGAGGGAGGTCCTTTCTTGTGCATCATGTTCGTAATCAGAAGCGTACGGACGGACGAATGGGCTGGCACGAGGACTAGAGAGCACTGGAATATGTATTTTAAAAAACCACACAATTATACGCATTTACTGTCTTAGTCCATGTGTGGACCGAACAAAACTAACTGCTCTGAATGTAAAATTATGACTCTACGGAGCACAAAAAGAAAAAAATCAAATAAAAGACCATCTGCAGTCTCCAGCAAAGAGAAAGAGGGAAAGACGAGGGAACGCGAGACTGAAACATTTGCAAAACAAAGGTGCTGATGCTTGAGTGATTTTGTAAAACTGATAAATTTATCAAGCTTTGGTACACAATTATTTTTGGCACTTCTTAAATAAAAAGGAGCCAATACTGGGAAATCAAAGCAGGTGCTAATGTTTCAGTGCCTCTAGAAAGCAGCTAAACCCCCGTGCTACGTAGCACCTTTGGGGGTAATTTCCTGACTTTTAGCAGGCGGGAAAGCATTGGCACCCTCATGTAAATTCCGCTTGCCTACCACCTTTGTTTTATTTTTCTTTTTTTTTCAGTGCACCAGCGCCCCTATGTTTTCCCACTGCAGCGCCCCCCTTTTGCTTATGCGTCACATCTTTGTGAGGATTGCGGACTCTGCGTGCCACACCATAAGTGAACCGTACTCTGTGTCTTTGGCTGCTGCCTTCCCAGCCAGTGGTGGACGAACGTGGCGGGGAGGTCGGCTACGGACGTGCGACGGGACGTGCCAGGGGACGTGTCGGACGAGGCCGCGGCCAGCAAGGGCCGACCCCAACACCGGGGGCCGCCCGCCTCCAGCCTCCGTCAAAACGCACCTTCTACACACAACAAGAGGACCACCACACCACCACAGCATCAGTTGTACGGCCCTCCCCCAGTCTACCATCATTTGTTACTGGTTGTTATTGTATATCATGACTGTTGTTTTGCGGTTGTAGTTACTAATACTATCACCAGCAACAGCAGTATCAGTATTGGCGACAAATACTCGAATTTCATTATGTCAAGGATTATTACACATATGGTGAGATTAGTTAGATGTTTTATTTACAGGCACAATTATTAGTCGATCCAAATGAGGAGGTCCAACATGGGCCAATTGCTGTACATTTATTAATTTGCCAGCAGAGAACGTCGAAAAAATGTGCATGGTGAGAATATAAAAATGGATGATAAAAAAGACATCGAGATAAACACATAAAAATACAAAATGGAGTGGAGCAGTCAAAAATGTGTGGAGAGCAATATGGAAAAAAGTTGTAACAATAACAATGATAATAAAAAGAGTTTGAAGTGAGTATAAAAATTGATGGCACGGCAGGGGCAGCTCACAGGCGCCAGGCGCCACGATTTGGCAGCAGCGGTGCATCGGAGTGCGCTACACGCCAGGCCAAGCACCACACGCGCCATGCAGAGTGCCGGGGGTCGCACACCACACACACACACACACATACACACAAACACACACGGGCAAACAAAGGGACGTTCCAGGGGGGAACACGATGCACACGGATGTGTCAAGGGGTCGTCTAAGTACCACGTGACCGGTGAGCACGACACGGGACGGGACACGGAACAAAGTTATTGAAATGGAGAGGACATAGGTTTTCTTTGTAGAGTATAGGGCTCCCACTTTTACCACCCGGGTAACACCTGTCCACCCGGGTATAGGAACCGGGTACACTGTAAACCCTGTAAACGTGGGAGTCATCTTTCCCACCCAAATTGATTTTCGTGTTTCTACATCACCCTGATAGAGCGACCTGGTTTTGCATCACCCATTGTTCAACTACAGCGACACCGGCCCAAGCCGCCTAGGGAACGGACCGTGTAGCTGATAGGGATGAGCCCAGTTCTGGTCTGGGGGACCTTCAGGTTAATGGGGGAGACTAGGAATGAGAAGTCTGGATTACCTTGTTCACAACGCTTGGTCTCTCCGAGACTCCCTCAGGCATGCTCGTCACCTGGCGGACCCCCACCGACTGACGAGCCACCAGCTCTCAGCCGGGTACGCGGCCTACCCATCTTAGGTCAGCACTTTCAGCAGGGGCAGGGGGCGGCAGCCCCGTTGCGTACCGAGCAACAACGTGGATGCATCGGTCTTACGAAAACATCGCTCAATTCGAGTCATCTCGGCCAAGGTCACTGTTCTTAGAGTCATACCAACGCCCAGTGAGGAGCGACGTCATTCAAGATCGCTCTCCCAGGAGTGATCGAATTGGATTCATGAAATAGCTCTCCCGTAGCAGTGTACACGGGTCTTCCCG